TTGCTCAAACCAACTTCCCCAATTTTCGCGGAGGCATCAATAAGACAGTCATCGTCTCATCGGTCGCTGTTCAGAAAGAAGAGTGAAACATCGTCAGAAGTAATATAATGATTTACTATTGTAATATTTGTTCACAGACCTTAGTTCAAATATTATTTTTATATGTTGGTGTAACAATAAAGAATCCACGAGTCACCAATTGGTCTTTCGGTTTTTTCGTCCGTTATAACTAAGCGTTTGTGAAAAAATTCAAGAAACAGCGTGGACCCGAGCGTAGCAAGAACTGGGCATTACGGGTTATGAGACGTGGCTGACAGTTTCAGATGGTGAAGACAGTTTCTGACGGTAGAAACAGATTCTCGCGGATTCAGACAGTTGGTGAAAGTTTGGATAGTCACCGTTCATCTTTCCTGGTGCCCGTCAAGTCCTCTTTGAACAAGCAATATCTGGAACATTTTTGGAATTGGGTCAAGTTCAACAATGCCTAGGTCAAAGAAGGGACAGAGTGTCTTGGATACAAACAGGAAAGTAAGTCATGGTGACTTGTCTGTTAATTGTAACGATGTGTCTGATGTTAAGCCTGACATGGTTGATGTTACTGTTTCGCCGTTCAGGGATAATAGGAACATCAAACTCCCTAAATTAGAACCACGGTGTTTCGACGGAAACCCAGCAGATTATTTACAATTTGTAAAGGAGTTTGAGATCATGTTGAGTAGTTTTTTATTTAGTGATGAATTGAAATTGATGTATTTGATGAGGTATTGCACTGGAGATGCTGCAAGAGCTATACAGTGTTGTTAGTTTATGAAGCCAAAAGAGGGCTACGATGAGGCTATGAGCATATTACGTCAGAGGTTTGGAAGACCTTTATTGATTGTAAGGAACGTATACGAGGCTGTCAAAGGTAACGGCAGTCAACTACAAGATGACTCCAAGGCACTTACTGAGTTTTTAGATAATCTTATGACTTATAAGGATACCTTGATTTCTATGAATTGCATGAGTGACTTCAACTCGAGTTTTATACTAGAAGTAATAGCAAGACGCCTACCTACTCGACTGCAAAGGAAGTGGGTGAAGATAAGCTCCCGTATGGAGGATGACGGTATCGAGCCAAGGTTCGATGACATTCTGAAACTGTTAAAAGATAGTGTCAATCAATCGATGTGCAAAATTGCCAGTATATTGAATCTCACCCCTAGATTAGAGCAGTCTGAGGGTAAAACGCAATCATTGATGACGAATAGGCCTCAGAGAGGTGGATATCGAGAAGGCTCCATGATGTCTAGTAATGCATATAGACCTAGTGAGTGTAACAGGTTTCGTAGTACATTCTCAACAGATAAGTTACAAGCTGCAAGACAAACACGGTTGTGTTTTACACGTTTGCAAGAGGTGCATACAAAGGTGAGCTGTGATCCAGTGAGCAAGTTCAGTGATAAGCTAAACGTAAACTCCAGGCCTGACTCCGAATTGTGTGACGATAACGGTGCGGTCAAGAAGTCTGTAGTTGCAACTGGTAAGCCATTGTTGAATAGAGTGTCACAGAATAGAGTTACTGCTTCAGGGTGCAGTTCTGACTCCAAAAGTTTACAAGGTATTACTAGTCAGAGTGAAGTTATAAAACCCTTTAGGATTTGCAAGGAGGAACCAAAATTGTCTACTTCTGTTATTAAAGAGTCTGAAAATGATGAAATTGACGGTAAAGTGAATATTCGTGATAAAGATCATGGTACTTCACATTTGTCTTTCGTTGATCATGATGAGATGAGGGATATGCCTACTACTGCTAAGTTGAACAAAGGTTCTGTACAACTTGAAGGTGAAGTAGAAATAAATGCAGATGCAGTTGCAGAAGGCACGCATACTTGTCAGACCGTCAGTTTAATTGATCAGCATGTAGCCCACCTATCATCAGATGCCAGTGCTAAACCTGAGCTGATAGTAAAAGACAGCGGTGGTGGTGGTCTTGCAGGTAGACAACTTTCTGAAAGCCGAACAGCATCAGCTTCTGATCCACCGCTGAGCTCATCAATTGTTATCAATCAGTCGTCGTTCGTGTTGTCATCCACAATGAGAAAGATACCCATCAACTCAAGTGTCTTGTGCAATGATTTTGATAGTATTGGTGCATTTGAAAGGACGAAAGATATTGGTCAGTTTAGTGAGGATATGCCAAGTGTAAACAAGAGAGAAATTGCATGAATAAAGGCATTTCTAGTTCCAAGTTACTATTTGAATGCTATTATCTTTGGTGTAAATTACTCTGTGCCTAAGCTTGGTTGACCAGAAACGTTGCGTGTTTGTTCGTCATCTATATTCTACGATACAATGTTATGAGCGTGTTGCCGTTCAGATTTGAGGATTTAGCTGATAGAGGGAAGTCAGCAAATGAACACTGCGACGATTTTCCAACCTAGAGCGTCAACCTGAGAAGGGTTGTAGGCGTACTGCTGTAAGTCCTACAATTCTTCAAAGGGTAGCGCATCAATGAGCAGCCCAATATGCTTGGTGTGTGATTTTGTACATATGTTCATATTGCATATACTGAATTGATATCATCTTTCATCTAGCTGTTGGTAATTCTGTTTGTGTCCGGACGACTTCCACTTGGATCATCAACCTGAGAAGGAATGTAGGCGTACTGCTGTAAGTCCTACAGTTCTTCAAGGGTAGTTTGTCGTGCCAGAATCCACAACATTTGATGTGTTGATTGTACATATGTTTGTGTTAAATAATTGTGTGAGTTCCAATTATTGTAATCGTTGATTAATCTTGTTTGTGTGCGGACATTCCACAAATTACAATCGTCAACCTGAGAAGGGTTGTAGGCGTACTGGTGTAAGTCCTGCAAATCTTCAGAGGAAATTCCATCAAGATATGATGCGCGAGGTTGTTTGTACTATTTGTATATACGTGTGGTGTGTCATATCAGTTGGTGTTTTTGGATTCATTGTGTTTACTCGTTGTTTTCGTACCTTGTTGTTATTGCGTAATTTTGTTAAAATTTTCGTCGTGATTACTTCTGAAGTTGTTTCGAGTCTTCTACATCCATGAATGAATTGATTGATGTTAAGGACAGCAGATGGGTCGTATACGCCGGGGAGGCTATTGCTGAGAATGACATGCACACGTAGATAATTGTCAGCTGTGGTCCCACACGCCGGGGAGAAAGAGTGTAAACGACTGAGGCTCGCATACGTCACCGTTACTAGAACTGAGGCAGAATGAGTGACAAGCGATTTCAGTGGTAATTGGTAATGAGTAGATAAGAGGATGAGCGTAGAGTATCATGAGTTGGTGCTATGGTCACTTTGCATTCTGCAAGAGTCATTCTAGCAAGTGGCGATTGAGTCGCAAGAGGATGCATTTAACTGGAAGGTGTAGGTCGTCATTGATGTGTGAGATTGTGCTGTGAGTATGCTTGTGGTGTGTTAGGCTTTTCTGTTTGTTTTCCATTTCAGCTCTGTCCGTGTGACCCAGGTTCACGCAATGGCATGCAAGTCAACGTGTATTGGTCGTGGAGGAAAAAAGGGATGGATCCACTTTTACCGGGGAGTGTGAATGCAGTTGAAGATGGAACGATCAATTCATGGTTGTTTGCTCAAACCAACTTCCCCAATTTTCGCGGAGGCATCAATACGACAGTCATCGTCTCATCGGTCGCTGTTCAGAAAGAAGAGTAAAACATCGTCAGAAGTGTGGTGGACCTTTTCACTCTATTAGCTTAGTTACCCAAATTCAAGTAGAAAATAAAATACCAAATGAGTTTAGTTACGGGAAGAATGTATTAAAGTTTGATTACTTGGGTTTACAAAGGTCCACAGTCCACAATAAACGTTACAGACTCCAGGTGCTGCGGAAAGACTGCTCCAGTAGTAATTCTCCAATGTTAGCGTTACCGGAGGTCGACCAAAGTACGTAGGAAGGAACTACGGTGCTCCTGCAAAAATCAGAGATAGAAAGCAGGTGATTAGGATTGATCGACGGCAGTTGAGATGGTGGAGAAGACGGAGAGTCGAAGGCACAACTATCTATTTATTCAAAACCCGAGGTAAAGTCAAAGTACCGAGGTTATGGTTAAAACAAAGTGGTGTACAATATGTTCATTATTTACATAGTAGTAAAATTTGGATAAGTTGATTTTTGAGGACTCCACAGAAGTAATATAATGATTTACTATTGTAATATTTGTTCACAGACCTTAGTTCAAATATTATTTTATATGTTGGTGTAACAATAAAGAATCCACGAGTCACCAATTGGTCTTTCGGTTTTTTCGTCCGTTATAACTAAGCGTTTCTGAAAAAATTCAAGAAACAGCGTGGACCCGAGCGTAGCAAGAACTGGGCATTAACGGTTTATGAGTCGTGGCTGACACCCCTGGACGTCTTAGAAATACATCATTCTCTTTAATATAGACTTGTGCTTCAGTTTTGTTTGAAAAAGGGACAAGCCATCGATCCAGATTGTATAGAAGAACTAAGAAATTGAAGTGGGAGTTGCTCGGTGACGTAGCCAAGATGATACTTCCCGATTTCAGCGTCGAGGCTGGTGAATGTCTAGTGGGTGAAACTTCTTGTAGCGTCGCAAACGTGCAAAGTGACATGCAAATCACTTTACCAAGTTGATTTCTTAGTATTTCATGTGACGACTATTTGATAAGGTAATGCTGCGGGCACTCTGTTGTCCCATGAGATACGTTCCGATAAGGCAAAAGAACGCAATTCAAAGGCAGAACTTCGGACGACTGCCTTAAAGCTTATGATGACCACTAAAACATCCATTGTTGATAGTGGAAAGATTATGCGATTGTTCAAACGGCATATTCCAAGATTACCAACAAATATAAGACACATTCTCAAGACCAGCCAGTCATGCCCCTCAACTGTTATTGGTAGTGGAGTTTACTATCATTCCATTATGGGTAAATTTTGTTTGATAAAGTCTCACAGCGTTATACAGTAATGTAAACATTACTGTATAACGCCGTGAGACTTTATCAAACAAAATTAACCATAATGGAATTACACTCTACCACAGTGCACAAGTTTTATTCTTATATCAACGAGTTTACTATCATATTGGTTTGCGAGGTATACTTACGCCTATACTGAGTTGTTGGTGTCAGTTCGCATCTTTTGATTGCGTTAATCTGCAGCTGAATATTGATTGATTGTCACTGTTTAACAGTGGTACACAGCAAATTCGGCCGATATTGGGTCGACTGGTGAAACCGTTTCTTAGTGATATATTTCTTATTGGAGTTTATGGTGGTTTTCATAAACCATCTGACTTCAATAACTTTTTATTGCCAGTTGTAACTGACGTGGAGCACTTATATGCACATGGTTTGCAAATCAATGAGAGGCATATCGGCTTCTGGCTTAACAGTGTTATCTACGATAAGCCTGCAAGATCTGACGTCACTTTTACAGCGAGTCACAACAGTAGGAAAGGGTGTGACAGATGTTGCGTTACTGGCAACTATGTAAATCGGCGCATGGTATTTAAGGATGTTAACAGCTGTCGCAGGACAGATAACAGCTTTAGGAGTAAGGAAGATGCCAATTACCACCGTGATACATCAGTATTTGAGGGACTTCCAATTGATATGGTTAGTATTTTTCCATTAGATTATATGCATTTAGTCTGCTTAGGTGTTGTAAGGCGGCAATTGGGTATATGGTTGCGTTTGGCAAAACAACGCCAATTGGGATTAGGCAATGAAACAATTGCTTGTATTAACGAAAGACTACAGGCTGCAGAAAGCTGCATTCCTAAGGACTTCCAAAGGAGGTGTCGCAGCTTGGAGTTTCTTCAGTTTTGGAAGGTCACTGAATGCCGGCTATTTCGTATGTATTTGGGCCCAGTTGTATTACATGACCTATTACCCTCTCCACTATACGCAAACTTCCTCAGATTGTTCACGAGTGTCTATATTTTATGTCATCCTCGTTACCACCTTAAATTGTGCGACACCGTAAAACAACAGCTCAGGCAGTATGTACTATGTTTTGACAGCCTCTACCCTGATGAGTTGGTTTACAATGTGCATGCTCTTCAGCATTTAGCTGAGGACGTATCTGAACACGGTTGTCTGGATACCTTTTCAGTCTTCCCGTATGAGTCACATTTGTGCCAAATCAAGGGAAGGGTGAGGAGTGGCTTCAGGGTAGCAAAACAAGTAGCCTCTCGAGAAGTCGAAAGATGCGTGTTTGCAAGCTCTACAAATGCAGGTAAGTCACCTGCTGAGCTAACCACGCCATGCGTTACAGTTGATTTAGCAAAGCAGTTATTTCGTGTTGGCAAGACTTACCATTCAACTGTTTCGCCTGACCGATTTGTAGTAGTAAATGGAGTACCTGGGATTATCTGTGGTGTGGGTGAGGGCAATGTATTCAAATTCAGACCTTGTTTGGATAAGCAACCATTTTTTAACAAGCCTTTCGAATCAACGAAGCTTGATATATACAAATAAGGCCAGTTCTCAGGCGACACTGAATGGGTTGCAATTAACACAATTAAATATAAATGCATTGCAATACCCACAAATCACTTCAACGTTTTCATCCCAATGCCTCACACATCGGCTAGATAAGCTGTTGCCATTGTTAATTTGTGTTGTTCCATTGGCGTCAGTTTCAGTTAGTGTGGTTCATAGGTAAGAGCCGACGTGATCGACGAAGTGGGTTGGGTTCGCTAGCATATCAGTTTGAGTTTAGACTCTCTATACATTCCAGTAGGAGACTTTTAAGGTATTTCGTTCTTCATCCACTAATGTGCCGTTCCTTTCAGAATAAATGGGCAAATACCGTATTGCACTGATTGATGGGAAAAATGAGGCAGTGATATGCCGAAGCTCTTGGTTTCTTGGACCTAAGCTTGTTGTCTGCAGCCAAGACAATTGGGATAATACCTATGAGGAGGAGTACCCCAAGATTGATTGGAAGATGGAGAATTGTGAGGTGATTTTTGAGACAGGTTAGTCGTATCGACACTTAACTATTTATAATAATAATAATAGTATATTCTCATTTTCTACATGAGAGACGCCAGTTTACAGGCATCATCAATATGATATATTACATATACGATTAGCAATCATAATTTTTAATAATGTTTTAATAAAATTCACATTTTTTCCTACTTGTGTAGGACACACCAAATATACAGGCATGGGTAAGCATTATTTAAATTTCATAAATTCGGTTTATGGTTAAGTTACATGGTTGCTGGCGTTTTTATCTTAGGTCTGTGGGAACAATATGATAACCAGTCATTCAATGGAGCACGTCATGAAATTTGGGAATATTAACTTCGCATTAACAAAAAAACCCAAGTATGTTTTGGATAGATTAAAAATACTTGGGAAAAAATAAAGCTTGAAGTAATTCCTCAATATAACTTGGGTGTGTACAAATCCGAATCTTATTTTTGATTTGATTTATATCCAAATTGGGTAATAAGGAAGCTATTTTACAGATACGATCAGTTATGTTATAAGCTACAATAGTGACGTTGTATTACAAATAGATACTTTTCTATTGGTATAAGAGTATATTCCACAAATGTAATCCAGGTTGCGTCGTGGAGAAAGTTAATTCGTTATTAACCAGGCAACTGAAAGATACTGGACCAATAATGTTTGCAGATCATTTGTTATTGTAAATGGTCAAATATCCACATTATTCATTCTCATTCAAAAAGTCAAATAGAAGCTGAAATGGTGAGAGAAAAAAGAAGACAAACAACAGCAACGCAAAAGAAAGCAACGGGAGTCCTTAAGGAGTGATTAATAAATATATACATATATATTCTGTTTAGTAATTGTGGTTATTTTGGTACACAAACTAACTAGTCCCGTTACGCTAACTTTTATATTATGTGTGAACTAATATTACTGTCCTGTGTAGAAATGTTTATCATCTAGTTCCAATAATATTAAAATTTATAATTGTAGTTGGTTGTAACTACACATTTAAAGAACTTAAAATATCTATGTATGGCGAAAAAGAAGGTGTAAGAGTCAGGCGCAAAAGTGCATTGTCATCTTTGAGCAGTCTGATGACTGAGGAGATGAACACTGGAAGTGTGTTTGCATCGCGCACATTAGCTGGTAGTCTATTCCAAATGACTGAAAACGTATTTAAGAAGAAGTTGTACCGCACGTAAGTCTGACAGTGCTCCATAGCAGCTAGGCTGTGATGATTTCTAAGATTGTAACTGATGACAGCGGTAGGTTTAGTTATTGGCTCGGAGGAATGCAAGAGAAGATTAGTTAGCTTATAGTAAAAGATAAGGTTTAACTTAAGGCGTCTTTTCCAGAGGGGTTCTAATCTTAGTCTTTCGCATCGCTCATGGTATTGCAGACCAATTTCTAAACCAAGAGTTCTTGAGGTAAACTGCCGTTGCACTCCCTCTAATTTAAGCTTGTCATTTTGTCTGAGTCCGCTAAGAATAAACGGGCAGTATTCTAAGATAGGTCGGACACATACTTTGTATAATAAAACCCTAGTTTCACAACAAAAGAAGTTGCGTGTTATGCATCCGATCAGCCTTCGCGTTTTACGTCTGGTATAATCAGTCTGTTCAGCGAACGTTAGGTTACTAGAGTATCTAATACCGAGATCTACTACTGAGTTGAGCTTAGCTAGTTTTCGCCCATTTATTTCAAGAGTTAGATCAAGGTTACTGTTGCCGATACAAATCCAGCCGCATTTATCAATGTTAAAGTTTAGACAGGATTCAGCACACCACGTTGCAAGGCTACTTAGTTCAAGATGTATTTTAGTAACCATATCGCTTAATTCATGAGTGTAGCAGGAGTAGACGACTTTGAGGTCGTCAGCATATAGGAATGGTTTGCCTAAGGTGAAGCACTTGCAAATGCTGTTAATGTAGACTGTGAATAAAAGTGGACCTAGGACACTACCTTGCACGGCCCCACTTGAGATCTGCCTAGGATGAGACAATACAGATCCAACTTTGGTTATTTGTACCCTGTTGCTTAGAAATGATTTTAACCAGTTCAGTAATGGGTTGCGAATTCCACAAGGGTACAGCTTCTCCAGGCTTATGTGTTTCTAAACTAAAGTTTGCAAACCAATCACTGAAGAGTTCACAGATAGTGGCAGGTTCATTGTAGATTACTTTGTCGTGAAGTAAGTATGGGATTTCCCTCGCCGACTGCATTCGTTTTTTAAGAAGTGCCGTTAAGTTATAAACTTTGGAGGTACTTTCAAGTGCCGTTAACTCTTCGTCGAGGTCCTTTTGAGAGCGTAGGCGCTTGAGAGATTCAAGAGACTCGTGGATTGAGAGCAATAGTGATATGTCCTTAGTGGAATAGTACTGTTTCTTCAGCTTCCTTAACTTATTACGGTGTGCCCTTGGAATATATTCAGTTCGGTGTCTACTTAATTTCACTATTTTCTTTGGAGCAACTGTATCTAGACAAAGGGTAACATTCCTGTAAAACAGGGTTACTAAGGCCTCCAGGGAGTCAGTGGTAAAATAGTCATCCCATTGACAGAGTCGAATAAGTTCTTGGACTAATCCCCAGTCTGTATATTTGTAACTACGACATATTGTGCTTCCTGAGTCTTGTTTGTTTCCTGTATTTAGTGGTGAGAAAGGCAGAGAGCAGAGTACCATTCTATGGTCACTACTGGAAAATCGATTACCAACATACGTGGATACTGGGATTGTGTCATGACAAAAAACAAGGTCCAACATGTTGTCACCACGAGTAGGTGTCTGGACGTGTTGTTGCCATCCATAACAGTCTATAGTGGCAAGTAATTCGTCGAAGCGTTGGGGGCCGGAACTAGTTAGCCAATTGACTTCTGGAAGATTGAAGTCCCCTGCAATTATTTTGTAATTAGCACTAAACGAGGATGCATGTGCAAACGATTTAGCTAATAACGCATCAGTTTCTTTTGTTGAGCTTGGTGCTCGATAAACACAGCCTATGAGAAGTTTGTACTTATCTCCATGTAAGACAACCCAGAGTGAGTCAGGTACATTATTCATTGTTTCATCTTCCACCTTACTGACTACAAATGAGCTATGTATATATATGAGACATCCTCCACCACGCTTGCAATCTCTGTTTGCACGGTGTACAGTGTAATCATCGATACCTATATGCACATCAAGTACAGAGGATGAGCACCATGACTCAGTAATCAGAGCTACAGTAGGCTTGGCGACTAATAATAATGTCCTTAGTTCAGATATCTTATTGATTAAGGAACGTGCATTAATTAGCAATATCGTGAATAAGTCACGGGATACTACAAACTGGCTTAAAATGTCACCATAACCTAAATCTATTTGTGCGTCAGCACCGCAAGAATTTATGAATGAAAAGGAGGTCGGACTGGGTGTCTGCACATCGGAGTTGGTGTGCAATGAGGTGGTCCTAGGTGCCATGGGTCGTACCAGTGATTCGGGACACCTGGAAAATTTACCATGTGTTCCTGGATATAAGGGTAGTACAGGTTGGGCCTAGGTTGACGGTTAAAAGGCATAGCATCAAAGGTCTACCCATCCAACTGCTATTCGTCATACCGGTATACACCTTCGGGTTGTTTTTATAACTTAAAGGGAATTGTGAAGGAAGGTGCTTTGGCTGCAAGACTTTAGGAGTCTTGGAGCCTGACTTTCTATAAGGTGGAGCATGCGGAACACCTCCAGATATACTTATGTTTCGAGAGGAGTTTTTCGTAACAAGTGATGGTTTGTTGGCATTCTTACTCTCAGCAGGCTTATTGAATACAAAGTATTCTTCCCCATCATTAGTCTCAACCCTGCGAAATTTGTTCATCGTGGTGAGGTTACTACGTTTGGGGGGAAATTTCTTAGAACAACTTGCAGAAGTTCTAGTCATTTTAACATCTTTCGATGAGGCTTTATTTACAGGGGTACTGGTATCTAAATCAGTTCCTAGTTCCATTGGCAAGTGTGGTTGTTGTGTAGTTTGCTGAATGCTAGTTTCAGCACTAGGTGTCTGTTGCTGTGCACGATCCTTTTTTGGTAAATCAAAGCTAGAGGAGGTGACCAGGTTATTACTACGCATTATTCTGCGCTGACACGGTGTTTTATCCTGAGCTACGGTTATAGACTTATAACTGCTATTCAGTCTTAAGTGATCCTGACATTTAGTAAACTTACTAGCATCAAGGGAATTACTGAATTTAAAAATGATTGGGCAATTAGCCTGGTTAGACTTTTTACGAAGTCGTTTGCATTCACATGGAACACTAGCCATGCCGCAACAAATCAGGATTTTGTGTCTTACAGTTTTCAGGGGCAGAGAATCTGGGACGTTGTAAACTATAGCTTGGTGAGAAGAGGTTATACGCTTCATCACCTCCGTAGCCAAGCAGTCAATCAGATTTTCAGCTTTATTTAGGTTGTCTGGAGATATTTTAGGATGCCTTTCTAAAAGACAGGCTATTGGGTCTAAATTCAAAAGCTTATTTTGAGTTACATCCAGTAAACACTTAACCTGGCCAATATCAGAACGGCTCTCCGTGGTATTTGAGATTGGCAGTGACATACTATCAAACTGATCTAATTTTTTCTGAATTTCACTTACTTGCCTCTGCATATCTTTCAAAAGGAGGTTTAGTTTACAGAACTCAGAGTTCTCTAACAGAACATCTTTCACCTGTATCACAGGAGTGAGATCTGCACTCAAACCATTTTGAGAGCTAGTAGTTGATACTGTATTACCAGGCGGTAATGCAGTTATAACCGAATTTGAGCCACTATCTAAAACAATTGTGTTTCTACGAACACGTTTTTTAGAGATTTGGACCATAATTTCAAGAATTATATGACAATAAGCAGTAAATAAATTTCAAAGCAAACACGTGCAAAAATCATTCTGAAGACGGCGATTTGCTGGTTTCAGGTTGAATGACTTCAGCACACATCTGTAATGAAGGAAAGAGAGAATCATTTAAATACGCGTCAATTCCCACTAAGTGCAGAAAAACTGGTAACGCTTTTATTAAAAACTACCTCTTCTGGTGATAAATCCCTTTTTCTACGAACA